TTAATATTTTTCAAAATCACATTGTGCAGAAAGGCTTAAAGTAAGAAAGAAAATTTTAGATTTTATTTTCTGTTTTTTCACCTTCATATTTCTAAGCAGTATGAATATATGCTTGCTTTTTTAAAGCCTGCTTTTTAATTTATGGAAAATACACATCTCTTCTTGTTGTTGTTCAGTCACTAAGTCATGTCTGGCTCTTTGCGACCCCATGAAAAGGAGCATGCCAGGCTTTCCTGTCCTTCACTGTCTCCTGGAAATTGCTCAGAATCATGTCCATTGTGTCAGTGATGCCATCCAACCATCTCCTCCTCTGTCACCCCCTTCTCCTGCCCTCAGTCTTTCCTAGAATCAGGATCTTTTCCAATGAGTCTATTCTTTCATCAGGTGGCCAAGGTATTGGAGCTTTAGCATAAGACATCTCTTAATTCACATATATTATTTCATCTTAGTATAATTGTATTATTAATCTCATTTGTTAAGATTCAGATAATTTTGTTAATCACCTCTTTTGTTTTCTGTGTATCTTGACTTCCAAATAATGAGTGGAATATTTTCATACCCTTCCGTTTCCAGTCAGTTCTCCCTGCTTCCACAGCTCAACCTATAATCTTTCTCCATAATTTTTAATGGAAAGATTGCTTACATAGTATTTTCTATTACATAGTAAGTTTTCTACCTTGTGTAGTGTTGAAGCTGAAACTCCAATATTTTGGCTACCTGATGTGAAGAACTGACTCATTTGAAAAGACCCTGATGCCGGGAAAGATTGAAGGTGGGAGGAGAAGGGGATGACGGAGGCTGAGATGGTTGGATTTTATCAGTGACTCGATGGACATGAGCTTGAACAAGCTCCAGGAGTTGGTGATGGACAGGGAGGCCTGATGTGCTGCGGTCCCTGGGGTCACAAAGAGTCAGACACGACTGAGCAACTGAACTGAATTGAACTGAACTGTGTGTGTGTGTGGATTTATACAGTTGGAAAATCAATAACTGATATTTGCATCATTACAACTATAACTAATGTGGACTGAAAGTAAACTGGCCTACGATTACATTTTCTTCTCATAATTCCAAGCCACAGGGCCTCTGCTACTTGAAAAAGAATGTCAAAAGAATTCATTCTTCCTTTAACCAGTGGCTTGAAATGAAGCCACAGACTAGTGTCTTATTTTACACCACATCTTTCTTTCTCCGTCACCTTTGTTTCCTTTTTGGAAAAATAAATCTTTGCTTCCTCACATTTTTGTCATTGTGTACCCTGCTTGAAATCAATTTCATTTTCTTCAAGAAACCTATGAAATGTTTTTGTTTCTCCTTTATTTTTAAATATACAATTCTAAAATATAGTCATTGTGTCAACTGCTGAAAAATCTAAATACTTCAAGCTTTCCAATTTTATTGGAGCACATATTCCCATTTTTTTAAATTCCCAGCTCATAGTAGGTTTCTTTTTTGAACTTAAAATTAGTATTCTGCAGAATTTTTTTGTTAAACATACATTACAACTCTTTTCTATTTTAATTTTAAAGAATACTGCTTGGACTTTGCTCTGAGGAAATCATATTTCCCTCACTAGTTTAAGCTTATTTTTTAGTTTAATATTCAGGATTAATGCCATTTGCTCCATGATTTATTTTCATTGCTCCAAGAGAGAGCATCTTAACTATACTAGAATATTCTTTATAACCCCAATGTATGCAGTTACTGAGGCTTCCCCGGTGCTTCAGGGTAAAGAATCTGCCTGCAGTGTAGGAGCCACAAGAGACACGGGTTTGATCTCTGAGTCAGGAAGATCCCCTGGAGGAAGAAATGGCAATCCACTCCAGCATCCTTGCCTGGAGAATCCCCATGGACAGGGGAGCCCGGCAGGATGCAGTCCATAGGGTCTGAAAGAGTCAGACACGACTGAAGCGACTCAGCACACATGAAGTGTTATTAGGTCCAGGCTGCCTATAAGATATTTTGTTGTTGTTTAGTCGTTAAGTCATGTCCTGCTCTTTTGTAACCCTCTGGACTGTGGCCTGCTGGTCTCCTCTGTCCATGGGATTTCCCGGGAAAGAATACTAGAGTGGGTTGCCATTTCCTTCTCCAGGGGATATTTCCAACCCAGGGATAGAACCAGCATCTCCTGTATGGCAGGTGGATTCTTTACCACTGAGCCACGAAAGAAGCCCATAAGATATTTCACATTCATAAATTATGATATACAAAAACGCATATATTAGGCAGTATTATCTATGATTTTCAGGTGATAAAACTGAGACTTAGAGACAATAAAAGCTAAACTAGAACCCAGACCTAATAACAAAGTTCTCTATTACAAGCTGCTTCTATATAACTTACTGTATAAACACACAATGTTTAAACAAGGCTGTTAGAAGGAGTGCTAAAGCTTATTACTTTGTAAAGGTATTTTTTCTATTTAACTATGAATATATTGAGAATTTTCATTATTGCCATCACAATCATTATGCACTAATATCAAATTATTTTTGCAAATGTTCCAGCATTAATATAACCATTCAAGTGCAAGACAGTCAATTGAAAAGTAGAGTTGGCTAAAAATGATCAGAGGAAAACAGATTACTCAGGTTAGTGTAAGACTAAGAATGTAGCCCCCTTGGCACACTTTTCAGGAAGAGCCCTTTAAACGTTGTTAATTGAAAAATGACTAAATTGGCCTACCTGCCATCATCAGCAAGGCTCCTTCTTGCTTTAATTCTGAAGGAAACATGCAGATGGCCGGCTGGTGTTTCTTGGCTGGGGCTCAAGCTGCTATAAAGGGACTAGTTCTGCTTTTCCTTTACAGTTGGTTCGTGAGGATGAAGCTACACAAAAACCTACCCTCAATGTCTGAGGCTCTTATTTGCAGCAATGCACCCATGCTATGATAGAGCATACATAGGGCTAGGCGGGAGATGATAGGTGTTCAAACCCAGACTCGGCCATCTACCTGCTAACTGCAAACTTCAGTTGCATCAGCTGCAAAAAGAAGATAATAGTGAAGAAGGAATTCATAGGGCCTGGACTCCATCTCAGGCCTGTCCATGCTGCTTGTGTGTGGCCACCTCTCCAGTGGACTCTGAACTCTGTGCTGAGCGCCTATGGGAACGACAATCGAAGGATAAGACCCCCTCTGGGCAGGGGACTCTTGAAGATCACATCCAGGTTACTCATCGCCTAAGAGGAAACATGCCCTAATCACTCCCTGCCTCCGGACAGGTCATAAATTTTCTCCATATCTATCGGAATGTAATCACAGTTGTATTGATTATTAACTGGTTGGAATGTGACCACGGGCTTACTGATTATTAACTGTTTGGAATGTAACTGTGGACTTATTGATTATTAACTGTTTGAACACATAACACATGAATGATGGGGTTATTGTAGTTGTATTTACCCTTCCTTTGTTTATGTAAGTCTCAAGGAATTTGGGGTGGTGGGTTTGGACACGTACACATGGGGTATAAAAGATTTTCACAAATGCTGGTCGGGGTCCTTGGCTAAGAGGAGACTCTGCCTTGGGCCTGCCAGTGTAATAAACTGCACTCCACTATCTGCATTGTCCTTCTGAGTGAGTTTGTTTCCCGGAACACGTGGCTATAACATTAGTACCTTTATCACAGAGTTCATGTAAGGAGCATTGAGCTCAAATGTATGAACTAACTTTCTATACATCAAAATGTTACAGGGCATAGTTATTTATGAGTTATCTCTCTTATCATCTTATAGTGAAATGTATGCAGTTGAATGACTTGTACTCATTTATTCCTTTGAGATCAACCCCTCCTGGTGAAATTCTATCTCCTGATTGCTAGGCCATTTCCATCCCACAGCTTGGTCCCACAGCTTGGTTGTCTTGTAACTGTCTCCTATATTTTTCAAATTAATCACCCTTCCCCATCTTACCTTTTGAAAACTCAAAAAATGAACCTGTCATGATTTATAGGGCCTCAAAAGGCTCCAAAAATATCTAAAATTGAAGCATCATGACCTTTAAATTGGAAAGAGAAATGCAGATATAATTGGGCTTCTGAGTCTCCTAAAAGTCAATGGTAGAAGAGTGGAGGGGATAGAATCTTCAGTCTTAGATCTGTGAATGGAATGCACCTTTCCACCTCCTGGGGATAGTAACTCTGGGCAACTGTAAACCTAACTGCCTCATCTGTTTTCTTATCTGTGGAAGGAGGTCATAATATATGTCTAAATATATTATTCTGAAAGTTAAAGGAAGTCACATATATCTTCATACACTTCCTGGCTGATAAATGGTCATCAATATTGACCCCCATGTTCTGTAATTTTAAAAGATCACCATCAGTCCTTAACCCCAGCACTTTGCTAAATACTTTGGAATTATTCCCCCCATATCAGTAACTTTCCGGTGGTGTATAAAACTTCAAATGTTTTAAATGCACTTATACTTTTATCTGTGACAAGACTAAAATCTCAATCAAGGATCTGGAATTTTCACTTGCAATAAAACCATAAACTATTATGATTAGTAATAAAATATATGGATAATAGTCTGTATAATAATAGTAAGCTATTTGTACATCTATTCTACATAAAGTATATGTTTTGCATCTGTATGTTATGGCTTTAAACACAAAAATCTGAATCAGTGGGGTGAGAGGATCATCTAATGAGAAACAGAGATGAGAAAGTGAGACAGAATGAAAAAACAGCAGGTAAATATTCTCTATCATCTCACACTGGAATATAAACTTCTTGGAATGAAAGGAGGAGCCAGATTGCAGGTATTGTCTGTGATATTCTCTCAGTGGAAAAGTTTTTAAAGATCAATGTGTGTATGCCTACTGTAGTTTGACTGTATATTGTCCAAATAAGCAAATCAGTGAAAGAATAGAATCTCATGCATGTCTTCAAGTTCCAAATCCAACCCTCCCAGGCCACCTGCACACTCCCAACCCCACCGCACTCCAGCTCTGCCCAGTGACTATAACATTCTCCCCTCTGCTTCTGTCTCCCTGCAGGCAACTATGGAGAAAGTGGAATGGAAGCTTTCAAAGATATGTCCGCCAAGGAAGGGATTTGCATCGCTCATTCTTACAAAATCTATAGCAATGCGGGGGAGCAGAGCTTCGATAAACTGCTCAAGAAGCTCACGAGCCACTTGCCCAAGGCGCGGGTGGTGGCCTGTTTCTGTGAGGGCATGACCGTGAGAGGGCTGCTGATGGCCATGCGGCGCCTGGGGCTGGCCGGAGAGTTCCTGCTTCTGGGCAGGTAAGTGCCGGGAGATAGTCCACCTGCAGGTGACAATCTCAGGGACTTGGCAGCTTCAGAGGGTATCTTTTGCTTTGGAAGCTTAATCTGTTGTAGTGCAAGTACAGCTTAAAAAAAAATCATAAACAGCAGAGCCTGGAAATAATCATGGAAAATAAGTAGATAGGCCATGTACTGATGACTGATGACAGCAGAAATCAACATATGGAAATGAGGAATCCTTAAGTCCTCAAAAAAGAATTGTAAGGAAATGAGAAGGCTTTTAAAATAACTTGCATAATCCCCCTTGGTAAGTAAACACATGTCAAACTTTATGCAGTCTCTTCTGAAATTGATTCTAAGAATGGCTGTGTAAGCTTGTTTTATAATGCAGCATTTTAGAATTTGGGGCTGGAATGGGAGGAATTGCTTTTAGAACTAATTTTAAGGTGTTGGTAATTTGGCCCATTATTTTATTTTGCAAGTGTTATCACATTGCCTGATCACTCACATTGTTACCAGATGAGTTTCTAAAAGATGAACTTCTACAGAGACTGACTTTAATTATCTGGATGATATACTTGATTGGCACAGCTCATCTCATTTCCTCCTGATCTTGTTGAATCAGTATATTAGTTAGGGTTCTGCGAAGAAACCAAAACAACAATGTATATCTGTGAAAAGAGATACCCAGGGGAATCAAAGTCACGGCTCTGGTCCAAAACCTGGCAGGTGTGATTCTCAAGAAAATCAAATGCTTCAGTTTCAGTCTGAAGTCCAGAAAAGACTAATATCCCAACTCAAGCAGTCTTGGAGGAGGAGTTCCCTCTGACTCAACCTTTTTCACGTTTTCCATTGATTGGCTGAGGCCCACCCACCTTAGAGAAGAAGCTTCATTCCTCAGTCTACCCATACAAGTGTTAATCTCATCCAGAAAGATCCTTGTAGACAGAATAATGTTTGGCCAAATGTTTCAGCACCCTATGGCCCAATCAAGATGTCACATAAAGTTAGCCATCACAATCCAAGTCAACAACATAGTTTGAAAAGGTGAACACAGTTCACCATTTCATACCTTTAAAAAGTCATACGTTTTTCTCACTAGGTAGCCAATTTAAAGAAGAGAGACAACCTTCAGGACCACCCCATCTTTCTTAGTGTCACTGTTCAAATTAAAAGCCGGCTAACTTGTTATTAGCTTTTGATGGCTCATTAAAGAAAACATGCTTCCTTTGTTTTCCGAATGCTTAACTGACCTTCTGTGATGAGACTGAGCTCCGGCTTGGCTTGGCTACGTTTTATGACAGCCAGTTTATGTACCTAATTCTTTTCTGTCCAAGCTGATGGCAGTAGATTGATGGGACTGTTTTATATGAGGCCAACCATCCTTCATAAAAATGATATGAGTGAGTTTCCTTTCTCATCGGTGTCATACGTTTTGTTTAAAATCATCCCTTGTTGGAAAGAGTGATGCATCAGTTAGTTTCACACAATCCAGGAACGTCCTCACTGCCAATATTCTGATGTTCCAAAGTACAGAGTTACCAGTGGAATGAAAAGAACAAGAAAGAAGCTGGCTTTAAACAGTCCTGTTTTTCTTTATGGGAGGGAGACAGACAGGGATTCTGCAGCTCCTGTCTGCTGCTTTGCCAACATAAATAAGACAAATCCGAAGCACTTGCTTATCAGCCATATGTTATGTCAGCAAACAAATGTATTTTGATCACATGTACCCAAGAAAAATAGGTTGGTAAGTACTATATTTGCCCTTTTCCATCTATTTTTTTTGCCAATAGTATCACAAGGCCAAAATTCAATATTTTGTATATTTTAAAATTTATTCATATGTGCTGTTGATAAGTTTTTTCAAATCATTTCATTCATGAAATAATAAATTCATAGCCTTAACTAGATTTCTTAGTTCTCTCATTGATTGGCTAATAATAATACAACATTTACTTGAGCACCAGTTCATCTTTGAGTGATTCTGTTAGAAAAGTCTGAATTTCTCTGAATTTTAGATGTATCTCTCTATAGTTTCTACATCTTGGATCGTGTTCTTCTCTTTGAAAGTAATATGCTGTATATACTCTTTCAAATATCTGGAAACCACAGTCTGGTCCTTAGGCCCCTTCATCTTCCCTTGGAAATCCCTATTTCTTCCATTCCTATTTCTTCATAGTGAAAAGGACTTTGGGTCCTGACCATTTATCAGGACCATTTATAGGATCATTTATCAACTGCTATATGCCAGTTTCTTCACTAACCATTTAAATGCATTGTTTCATTTAATTATTAATTTGACAAATATTAAATTGCTAGGGACTTCCCTATAGCTCAGATGGTAAAGAATCTGCATGCATTACAGGAGACCCAGGTTCGATCCCTGGGTCTGGAAGATCCCCTGGAGAAGGAAATGGCAACCCACTCCACTATTCTTGCCTGGAGAATCCCATGGACAGAGGAGCCTGGCAGGCTACAGTCCACAGGTTTGCAAGGAGTTAGACATGATGAAAGCACTAAGACATAGTATCTGTTAAGATGCTTGGACTATGTTAGTGAACAAAATAGACAATAATCACTACCTTTGCGGACCTTCAAGATGATGAGTAAGATAGAAGTTAATAAGTGCTATGAAAAAAATCTAAGAACAACTTGCATGATGAATACCATTCTCATCTCCATTTTATAGAAAGGACTTTAAGACTCAATAAATACCAAGTTATAGTAATAATAAGGCAGAATTTCAAATGCCTGTGTAACTCTAGAGACTGAGCAGTTAGCACTGTGTTCTACTACTTCCAACAACAGACAATAACAAAGAGAATTTAGATCATCTATTCACTCTCACTTTATAAATGAGGAAACGAATAACCCAAGTGTTCGAATGACATGGTCAAAGTCCCACAGGAACCCAATTACCTTGACTTAAAATCTTGTACTTTTTTCTCCTGTCACCTATAGAATAGGAAAGGGGAAAAGTTATAAATTAATAGCAGATTCCTGGTTCTTCATAGATCCTTGGTGTAGGGGGAAAAAAAAAAACCAACTACCCTAGATGATTCCAATGGAAATTAGCATTTTTATATTAATGTTCCCTCCTAAAAACTCCCATCCAGCTCACCCTGTAACTCCTGGTATTTTAAAGTAATTTTGTTTGTATGTACTTCCCTGGTCTCTCTGTATGCTCCTTCCTCCCCTTACTCCCAACTCAAACTTAAATGGATCTTAGATACAAGAAGTCAAAATTAAGAGAAAAGACTATATTCAGAACTGCCTACAGGGCTCCACATTTAACCACTATAGTTACTTAAAAATCTATCCAGCTGCCTTGGGATAGGCCTGTTTAATAGGTCATTCAACTAAAATGTTAGGCATGTCTAAGATAACTCTGCCTCCAAGACAACCTCATCAATCAATATATCTCACCATCTGTGCTGCTCATCTGTAGAATGTTAGAGTGATATGGACCTGGCCACTGGGTCTTCTTGTTTGAGCTCTGGGTAATCTGTTGTCTCATTGCCAAGAAAAATGTCCTGTCCGGGTCCCAGAAATAGTCTCACTAAACACCTTAGCCTTGACAGCAGGATGAGATCAGTAATCTGAACTGAAACAAAGGGGCTTATTTTTCTAGAATGGATACAGTGTTTTAGATCTTGACTTGGGAAAATATTGTTTGAGATGTATTATTGACAACCTGTAAAACCTAAATATTAACTTGGAAATAAGGACCAATTTTCAAATTAACAATTTAAAGATTGTTTTACCTTGTCTATGATTAGCTAAAACTATTTAGATATTTGAATTAAGAATTTGATTATTACCAGGACACAAGAGGAAATGTACTTAAGTTTCAAGACTCATTGGAATTATTACCAGTGTTTTTTTCCCCCAGAGGTTATCTATTTCAAGCTACTGTTTTTAGCTTTTATTTTTTTTTTATTGAAGTATAGTTGATTTACAGTGTTGTGTTAATTTCTGCTGTAGAGCAAAATTATTCAGTTATATATATATACTTTTTCCATATTTTTTTCCATTTTGGTTTATCTCAGGATTTGAATATAGTCATTTATTCATCCTCTGTGTACTAGTTTGCATCTGCTAACCCCAGACTCCCACTTTATCCTTCCCCTCTTCTCCTGCCTCTTGGAAATCAGGTATCTGTTATCTGTGTCTGTGAGTCTGTCTCACAGATGAGTTTATTTGTGTCTTATTTTTGATTGAACATATGTGCAATATCATATGGTGTTTGTCTTCCTTTTTCTAACTTACCTCACTTAGTGTGATAATCTCTAGGTCCATCTATGCTGCTGCCAGTGGCATCATTACATTCTGTTTTATGTGTGAATAGTACTCCGTTGTGTGTGTGTGTGTGTGTGTACCACATCTTCTTAAACCATTCATCTGTTGACTGACAGTTAAGTTGTTTCCATGTTTTGTACATTGTGAATAGTTCTGCTGTGGACATAGGGGTGCATGTATCTTTATGAATTTCAGTTTTATCCAGATATATACCCAGGAGTTGGATTGCTGGATTATATGGCAACTCTAATATCAATTTTCTGAGGAAGCTCCAAACAGCTTTCCATAATTGCTGCACCAACTACATCCCCACCAACAGTGTAGGAGGGTTCACTTTTCTCTACACTTTCTCCAGTATTTGCTATTTGTAGACTTTGCTTAAATAATCTCTAGATCCATCTATGTTGCTGTCAATGGCATTATTTCATTATTTTTATGTATAATATATCATTGCATATGTGTGTGTTTAAATTTTCTCTAAACATTCATCTGTAGATGGACAATTGATTACTCACTGTAGTTAAATGACTGGACAAGGTCACACTAGTTTATCCTAGTGGCTGTTCTAAGTATCACAAAGAGAGAAGTCTTTTAGCAACAGAAGTGTTTGTATATTTATGATAACTTCCCTGGTTATAGGTGGCTCAGACAGTAAAGAATCCACCTGCAATGCTGGAGACCTGGGTTTGATCCCTCGGTTGGAAAGATCCCCTGGAGAA